CTCCCCCCCGTCCCCTCTTCTGCCCCTCACAGTTCTCTGATGCCTCAGTGACTTCTTGTAATACTAATCATATCTTGTACTGCTTTTTTACGACTTAAAAAGTTATGGCTGCTCTGTTTTCAAGTAATCATATTTAAAAAAAAACACACACTTTTCTACACTACACTCTCCAGCTTGTTTTCGCCCTCTCTCCATTCTGCCTGTGTTTATTAAGACGCACCTTGTCGTGTACGTTTATGCGCTCTCGCTGCTGACACACTACCCACACTTCACTGACAGGTCTGCGCCGTCGCCTGTCCTTTCTGATCTTCGGTTTGAATTTATGAGCAAATTGTTTCTGGCAGACAAACAACAGGGTTCAGAAGAAACACCCGATCCAGGCTCTGCTTTGGAAATGATCTCACATTCCAAAGGATCCATGCAGGTTGTGTTTGTTCGGTTCCACGTTTTGGATAGGAGAATGTTTTACCTCGGTTGTGTGTGATATCAGGAGACACTAAGCAGTAAACAAATAGCTTTACTTTTAAATATCTTATCACTTCATCTCGTTCCATTCCTCCGTGTGGCGTCCCGTGATTCTGCGTCTTCTCCTGTGTGTTGCTGTTTAAAGGCAAAAAAATAAATAAATAAATAAACCGCCCCTGAAACAACAGATTCCCACAGTCATGATCCATTTCAAACTGATACTCTCACACTACATTACACGGCCGAAGATAGAGATTATAGGACCCCAGCTGAAATCAGTAGGCTGTAAAGGTGTGAGCCTGGCCTTTGCGCTCTCGGCAAATGGCACAGATGCTGCCGTTTGGTGCTTTTTACTGTACAGTGGAGTGTGTGTGCGTGTGCGTTGTGTGTTTGTGAATGCACTATTTAAACCATGGTGCTACAAAAAGACCTCATCAGTCTTGAGTCAGAATCAGGGACCTGTTTATCGTGTTTCGGTGTGATTGTCGGCACTTTTTTTAATCCGCTTCGGTTGTGTCATTTCATTAGCTGTGGCTACGTTTCAGAATTAGCCGTCGCTGTTAATGTTTTGATTGAGGAATGTGAAGAGTTGTGATTGTTTCAGGGTGTGCAGGTCTGATCCTGAGAGGGTCATTTTGAGCTTTCAGAAGAGCTTCATGAAGGCGGTGCCAGTTTCTGGGTTGTTTTGTTGCTGGTTTTTAATATTTTAGAAACACCAGAACTCATTCAGCTTTCTGCTGAAGATGAAAAGATGGGTTCCTTCTTCCTCCAGAGGCATCCGAGGGAAAATGTTGACTTCTGGTTAAAAGTTTGCAAACACTCAGCAAAATTATCATTTTCTTTTGTGAGCTTTTAATGCTTTTATTTTTTTTTTATTTTTTACTTTTTAGGATAACTTAACAAAAAAAACAGGTTTGGGGGCATAAGTTTGCATTTATTGTGGATTTTTTTTTAAACCACACATGATCAAAACAACACAGATAGGCTCAAAAACTAAAGTATTGGTAATTGTCCCTTAATAAATAACACTTTGACCACAAGCATTTTGCAGTCTATTTCGACTTTCATTGGACTGCATGTCGGTTGGTTTCCTGCCATAGACTTGGATTTTAAGCATAGCTTATATATTTTCAGTACTGTTGAGATGAGGACCTTTTCAAAAATTTAATATTTACCGGCGTAAAAAAAAATAAAAAAAAAAAAATATATATATATATATATATATATATATATAGTGGAGTTTGAGAAAAGCCACAATGAATTTAAATTTGTGTTCCTGCTTTCTCTTTTCTAATTCATTGAAGTTTTATCTTGTATTATGGGTCAGCCCAAGTGAAGAATGGTTGAAATAAGTCTTTAAAAGTCCAGCACAAATATGCTGATACGTGTAAAACTCTGAACTAAACATTCTTCTTAGGGGGGAAAAAGTATTGATGTAAAAAAAAAAAAAAGAAAAGTGTGGGTGTTATTCGATGCTGGTGACACCTGGTATGTCTCGCTGACTTGTTGTTTTGAACGTAACCCAGCGATCCCCTGGGTTTAAACAGTTCCTCTGAAACTCCTCACATCTGTCTCTTCCTTCGCTGCGTTTATACAAATCTCTGCAAATCATCATCTGGTTCTGAATGTGCACAATCTGTCGGCATACGACAATGTTTTCGGCGCGAGGAGCCGCAACCGCGTCGGGTTTAAACTAGCTAAACTAAGATGTTGACAAACGAGGAGAAGATGGAGAACACATGCACTAAAATAGAGATGTGGAATCATTGCTGGGTCTTTCACCACATTTAGATAATCCGGATGTCTTGTGGATTATCTAACATCCGGTAAATAAAGTCCTCCGGATTAGATTAGATATGGATATCTAAAAACAAACATACAAACAAACAAACATATTTATCAGGTTTAGGTGAAATTAGCCTTTTCCCAAGCAGCCCTCAGTTCAAGACCCATAAAACTTGATATACAGGGTCACAAAATGATGTTTTTTTTCTTTTTCAATGCTAGAATTAATTATAAGTCTGTATATTTTTTGTGCAAACAGGGTGTTGTATAAATGTGTGAGATTAGACAACATGTCACTGCTGTTAGTTTGACATAAATCTGAAAAAAGAAGAAAAAAAAAAAGATATGCCCCACAGCAGGTCATAATGTTCTGTTCCTATACTTAACTACTATTTACTTCCACCTTGCACTACATCTGAAAGTGAATGCTTAGTTTAGAAATGAGCAGATGGGGGTGCAGAAAGATTTTGCAGGTGGCTCCGTCGCCTGAATCGAAACCTCCGTCCCTGAGTTGTTCCCTCTCTCCTCTCTGAGGGGAGTGAAGACAAATCAGTGACGCATTTAGAAAAGAAACCGGAAACAGGCTGTAGACGATGAGTAGATTCACCCATTATGTGCTGTAAATGTCGATCATTTCATTGTTTTTCTTTATTGCATTTCATTTAAAAAAAATGAATATGATTATTAAGATTTAAAAATACTGTAGTATCAGAAGAGAGTCGTTTTTTTTCCCCTTGCTACACATAGGACATACTTGTGAATGATGAGGTTGATGTAAAACTTGTAAAAAAAATAAAATAAAATAAAAAAATGGCAAAACGGTTAAAAAGCAAAATAAAAATGCTGAAAATAATGTTGGGGAGGGGGGAAATAATCTGTTACCAGTCAGAGGCCAAGGTAAAGGACTCTCATTTCTTTGTGTTTTTATTTTTTTATTAGCAACTTATCACTGTGTGATATTTTGTACATCATATAAAGCTGTATTCCAACAATTTCCTCTAACTACAAGGGATAAGAGACCTGCTTTTTATTGATTTTGTCTTATATATTTTTTAACTGCATTCTGGCTTGTATCAAATGACTCTTTTTGTTTACAGGGGTCGCCTGTTGTATGTCATTAAGGAAGAAAAGATGAAAAATTAAAATTTTGTACAGTGAAATAAGAACAGTCTCTGCGTGTTACACAGAAGGTTATGTTGACGTTGATGTTTTACAATGGAGAGCGGTGATCAGAAATTAACCTGGATTTCTGCAGGGTATTAATTTTTTTTATTGCTTCTTGTATTCATTAATTTAATTTTACATTCTGATAAAAAAAAAAAAAAAAAGTTTGGCTACACTTATTTCTTGAACCATTGCTGAGAAAAATGAGAAAACTCAAAAGAATCCATGTGAGAACTACAAAGAAACCTAGATTTATAGTCCTTCTGCAGACATTTCTAAACAAAAGAAAGTTCCAAGATGATCAAGTTATTATGCATGAAAGCATGAAAGAATAACCAAACTCAAAACTGGTTCAGATGTCAAGAGACATTCCAGGAACGGCCGAGGCTCCATGAACAGCCATGGCGTTTGCATGGACTGAAAGTGCGCTAAAAGGTAAAAAAAAAAAAAAGAGTGAAAGGAACTAAAACGTGTGAATAAATAGGTTCTGGTGAGCACCTAAAAATGAAAATGAGACTTGAGAAAACCATTGTTCACCATCATGCATCACGGATGGAGTCATACAGAAGGACCACCTTCCATTTCTTTAATCTCAGCTGAGCAGCTGAAAACAAAACATGTTTAGCCGTGGGTGAAGTGAATTAATGTTAATTTATTACTTTAATAACTCCAGGAATGGCTTTCCCAAGGCACTTACCTCAAAACTATTACAGTAAAGTCAAGGACTAGTTGTTACTGAGTCCATTCCTGGAAACCAACATAAGAAGTCTAACAAGTTTTTTTTTCTTTCGTTTGATTTTTTTGTTTTTCCAAGAAGAGTAATCAAATATCCAGCTAGAATCACATCAGAAACTGGTTAATGGCTTCAGAAAGCACGCAACCGGAGAGAAACATGCATTTAATACACGTTTAAAATAAAGTGTGAAACACATCTGCATGCTGTCAACAACTAGTCACAATTTAGCTCCACATGCTCATTCCTACCTGATGTTAGCAACGTGCACAGACGGACATAATGTCTTATATATGTGGCTTAAATGTTTACATCTCCAACCGCACAAAACGGTGCCCTCTAGTGGTGAACGGAAGAAGTAGTACATGATCACATGCAGCAGCTGTCACTTTGAAGTCTTCTATCGCAAAGCCACCTAAACAGGACTTTGTTTGGTTTCACTTTTCTTACTAGAACTGAAAGCTTGAGCACCGGAACAATGTTATAGATTAAACAAGTGGCTCTGAGAGGGAAAACACGTTGCTGTTTTCAACACCCGATGCTTTTCCAAATTACAAAACTTCTGGTAGATGATTAGATAACCACCGAGTAGCCGTCGCCATGGTGATAACTGCTCACCAAGCCTCGTTTCTGTTCAGTTCTGTTTACAACAAGCCATCGTCCCCCGGCGTTCCCTGCCCACTGAGATTGTTCTAATGAAATTTGATAACAAATTAGGATGTAAACAACTCTGCAAGCAGGCGTGGTTTTCTGCCTGCTGCGGTCTGCGAAAGGTGCGTCTGATCAACAGAAGAGAAAGACGACGGCGCGGGAGCGCAACTTTGCGGAGGGACGGAAAGTGGCTATTGGAAGTTGGGAGCAGGATGAGGAAGTGATGGGGAGGGTGTTTGGAGCACGGAGCTGCCCCCTCGCCTCAGGCGGTGTAAGAGGATCTGTGCTGACCTCGTCTGAGGGACGGAGCAAGCCAAATAACCCTAAACCGTGGAAGGAGAGAAAAGAGGAAAGGGAGGGCAGGGGGGGGCGGGGGGGGAAATGTTGAGAGTTTAGAGTCAGAAGGTGGAACTTACTGGAAGTTTATTGGCTTCAGGTGGTGTCAGTCACGTTACTTCCTCCTTTGCTGTGGTGAGAGGGCAGGAGGAAGGGTAGGAGGGAGGTACCCTCACATCAGCCAGCTCTGTGTCTCTGCTTTTCTCGCACAAAAAGAAGCCTGCACTTGGGTTTGAAAGTGAAACAGGGCAAGACTTGTAAAAAGGAGTGCAGCCTCTTGGCCTTTTTCATTCTCACGGTTTCCTGTTCAAGGAAGCCATTTTGTTACCCAGCCCTGGAGCAGATCACTTGTACAAAGTTTGCCATTGTTTTTTCTCGCTCCCCTGCTCTGGCCCACGGCTGGGGGAGTTTCACGGCTGGCTTTGGACTTTCTACCCTGCAGAGCAACATCTTTGGAGCGAGCCGAGCCGAAGGAGGAAGGTGGAGGTGGAACAACAGCAATGGTGGGAGGGGGGGGCAGATCTTTCTCCCTTTCGGTGCGTCTTTTTCTCATGCCTGTCATGCTTGAAGAATGACAGAAGTCAGACGACGTGAAACGAGCGCCTGAAAGGACGTGAAACTGCTTCCTGGATAAGAATTTCTTCCTCGCTCCTCTGGAGGGAGGCAGACCAACGACTCAGGGGGGAACAGGGACTCTCTGCTCAGTGTGTGGACACCCATATTCCCTCTCTCCCAACAGGACAGTTTGAATGAGTGTGGCTTTTCGCAGAACCCACTCCACTTCGCCAGGGTGTGTGCTTGTCTCTGTGTATGCTTAGAGCTTCACGGGGAGAGTCAGTGGACTCTGAATGGCTAACGCAAGCCCCTGCATGCCCTCAGGGGCAATGTCCCAGGTCTTCTTCCCCCCAGTAGGGGCCTCCCCACCCGGCTCAGCAGTGATGCAGACGGGACCCCCCATATCCATGCCCTCTATGCCTCCTCAGGCTCCTTTTCCAATGGTGGACCCGACAGCAGGACACGTTGGGATGACGATGCCCTCAATGATCTGCAATCCAGACGGGGTGTCCTTCATCATCCAAATTGGCCTGACCAGGGAATCCGTCCTGCTGCCCCAGACTGCCGACCTGGCGTATGTGAAGCAGGTGGCCTGCTCCATTGTTGATACCAAGGTAAGACATGGGAACACCAGAGAGGGGAAGTTTGCATGTGAAACGAGTGATTCTTGAGTGATTCTTTTTTCTTTTTTTTTCACTGTCAGTTTTGAAACAACAAAAAAGTAAGGATATGTACAAAAGTCTGAATAATGGTAGAAATTCCAACATTTCTTCTGCAAGGAAGAAAGCTTTGCATCCGCGGTGGGTTTGTGAAGCAGGCAGAGCGGGCGTTTGATGGGTTTCGTCCAGCTGTTTACCCATGGGGCCACACATGTGCTGCACAGGAAGTCGCTGTTTATAGGAACACAGCAAAATCACTTGTGACCTTTATGTAAACTGCCTCCTCATTACAAAAAATGATCTGCAGGTGCTTCTCAATACATTAGAATATCGTCAAAGGTTATTCTATGTCAGTAATTATTAAACAAAACAAACCTTGATATTATTTTTATGGGAGCATTTCACTTTAGGATTTTGAATACAAAAATATCCCATTGAATAAACACAACATGTCCATGTACTGTGCAGTAAATGCATTGGCCACCTGGTTGGGGTCTCTTTTGCAGGAATTACTGCGTAAATGTGGTGTGACATGATTAGCTCCTGTTGTTTCTGGTTCAGGGCTGGCTCAAGTCAAGGAAAGGGACAGCTGCTGCTGCTGTCCTGGATTAAGTATAAATGTGGTGGCTCTGGACGCTCCGGCTCCTGCTGCAGTTTAAGTCTGGAGAATCTCCCTCAAATCCCGAATGGTTTTTACTTCACAATTCTCTCAAAACTGTGACTAACTACTCTTACTGTGTTTCCATCCTCACCTTTTCCCTCCACTCAACTTTCTGTTAATATGCAAAGATTCGGCTTTCTGTAAGCAGCTAGTTTCTGTAGCAATGCCCTTCTTAAGGAGGGAGTCAAGGACTACAGACCCATTCGATGAACTGGAAATTTACTTTGGAACCTCAGAAACGCACCTTATAAATCAATCACATAATGACAGGCGTCTGAAAGCCTTTATTTCTGTTAAGATATTTTCCCACTTACAAGTACTAAAAATAAGAAATTTGAAATTACAAACAGTAGATCAAACCATTAGAATAAACACATTTAAAACAGAAACATGGACTGAACAAAAAAGTGTGTTTAATGCTTAGAGGTTGTTTTTATTCTGACAAGCGGGCCTCGTTTGAACGTATGTTCTAATTTACTGAAAGTCAGCCGTCTTCCCCATCACTGTGTGGGCCTTTTATGAGAAAACGAGGCAAAATGTTATTTATTTGTGGTACGTATTAATAAAATCTTCCAGGAATCTCAATTTTGGGGTTTAATCAACCTCTGAATCATAGCCCTCAAAATGAATGGTTCACCTCTTGTGAGTGAATTAACCACAAGCCAGTGAATCTGTAGTTTCATGAGATGTACGTCAAAAGAAGGCCAATGTTCTCTCTTTGGAAGCATTATTTGTGGTTTGTTGTCGTTTGGCTTTCTGAAGGTGTGGACTGCTTTCTTATAATGAGTTTATTATGGTTTTCCACTTCTAAAGTTGAAGGGGAAAAAAAAAATCCCTTTTACTTTGTGCACAGAGAAAGTTTTGCATTTCAAGCCACATGAAGCCAGTTTTTGATGAATTCTTCAGTCATTTAGTTTTTCCAGTCAGTTATTAACTTCTACAATGAAATTTCCAGATGTCGAAGGATATCCCGTCATTCACTGATTTAGTGTAAATATTTTAACAACAAATGATTAAATTATTAGACGACACTGGAAGGTTTTTCATAATGGTAATTTGAATGTTTGGTGGCTGTAAAGTGAAGTTTTCAAACCTTTTGAAACCTTTTTTGTTTTGGCGGTGATGCATCATTACCACATGTCAACCCTGGTGGTGGCAGCATAATGCTGAGGGTCTCTTGGAGGAGTGAAGACGCAGGCGGACCCCCACAGCCTTCAGCTTCATCTCAAATAAACAACCAGATATTTGAAACTTCTGCAAAACTGCGCGCGTTGAACAGAAAACCAATTCCCACATCGAAGCTGATTTTGACAGAAAGACAGCAGGCTAAGGTAAAAAAAAATGGTTTACAAATCTAAAATAAAACACATGTGCACTTTGTGTAAGGGCCCACCTTTTTACCATGCGATCATCTACTGTAAAAGAACTCTGATTTTTTGTGTTCAAGACACAGATTGTGGTCTATTGATGAAATGCCAGGGCTCCTCGTCCTCGCTCATGCGCTTTATTAAAATGACATGCACAATTTTTCATTTTCACTTGGAAGCTCAAAACTTCAAAACACCGACGCAGAGGCAAGAGTTGGCAGTGACAACCCCTGTGCAACAGGAAACAATGCGTGTTTTTGGAAATCTACTCTTCATTTAAGAGCCGGCGGCACGCATGGCAGCCAAACCGTTTCCAGGACGCATAACAGTTGGAAGGCTCAGCGGTTCATATCGGTTTTAATCCATAGCTCAGGCTGGCAGGTGACAATCAGCTGATTGCCCAGGGCTCGCCAAGAGAAGCTCTGCTAAGCTCACAGCAAATGTGCATTTTCCAGGAAGCAGTGGCAGTTCTCTCCAACCAGCATTAGCCGCCGTGCTAATCGGTTATTTTGTTTCTCTGCGGCAGGCTTTGTTCTAGCTTGCAGTGTCGGTGTTTCCCTGTCGTGCACCTGCATGTTCCCCCGCCTATGGTTAACAAGTCTAAACGTACAGCTGCGCATCGCATTGTGTTGTGCTATGTTATGTCCAGCTCACTTCAGCTTCAGTCTTCCTCTTTTTTTTGCATTTCCCCTGCACATGTGTTTCAATAAATTACTGGTTCTCTCCACCTAATTCCCTTTTTTTTTTTTTAAACTGTTATCGGACAAAAATCTATTTTTCAAAAGTCTAATACTCTGTAGTCATAAGTTCACTTTTTTTTGCCATATTTGGTCATACTGCTAACAGTCACTAACTTCAGTGTATTTTGTTGTGAGCTCATTTTGAAGTCAGTGCAAATTAGCACGTATTTGTGAAGTGGAGGGAAAATAAAAATCTGAACCGTATGACATACAAACAATAGCTGTTTGTTAGAGTGGCCCAGTCAAAGTCCACTCTGGCTGAGCGTAAGCTACTCTGACAAGAAGAGGGTGTAAAAAAGTTAGTCTACAGGTGGAAATAAAGACGTTATGTAGCTGTACCTGCAGTGAAAGAGATTTCTACGCAGCATTGACTCAGAGAGGCTGAGTACAGATCTACGCCAATGTGTTGGGTTTTTTTTCACATCAAAATTAAGCACTTTTGTTTGGTGCTGGTTGATGATATAAAATCCTACCCCAAAATCTGTTTGTTGTTGAATCATAGCAAAATATGTAAAGGTTCAAGCACCATGAACCCTTTTTGTTAAGAGGTCGGCAAAATCGAAGATTGTTTAAAACTTAAAACCAGAATCATGTAGTTAGTTTTTTTTTTTTTCAGTTTTGGTATATTTTTGTGGAATATCTGAATACAATTTCAGCAACAGAATGACGTTATTGGTATAAGATTATCTTTTGTTTCTCAGGCATCATTTTAATTACTGTTTTCTGTTTAAAGGTTCGTGTCCTAAACACGGTCAGGGACTCATTTGAAAATTTTATATAAAGTTACTCTACAGAGGATGACAAACTTTTGCCCAAAGGAAGAAAAAAAACAGTTACTTTTACCCAATCTCCATGGGGATTCAGAGCTGAAACATGAACTGCTGTCAAGGTGCGTCGGAGCCTGCAGTGGGAGTAGTGAAGTATGAAAACTACGGTGTTGGATGAGTTTGTATGGTCCTTCTTCAGCAGCTCCACACTGTGACAAACTGCTGTCAGGAATCGACGCGACCACAAAGGGCAGGAAGGAAGTAGGTGGGGGTCAAGAGCATGGTTGACCCTGCTGTGGGGTCACATTGGGGCTGATAAGTTACCAGCTTCAACCGGGTAAAGTTTATCTGCACAGCCCCTGATAAAGTGTTTTCTGACAATCATGCTGCAGGTAGGTGTCAAACGGACCCTCAATCACACTGATAAATGTGTAGGTAAATAAATTTACTGGTGGTTCTCAGGGGAAACCGCCGCCAAAAATGGTAGGAAATTACTACACAATCCCAAACTGATGACAGAATAACCCAGAATGATGGCAGAGCGCAGATCCTGCTCACAATGTGGTTTCTTGAAACACAGAAAAGAAAATATGGGTCTATTTGCTGCCGTGCTGACTGTTGGTCAGGTGTGGTGTCTTATGATTAATCAACGGGGATCAAGGGGGTTTGAGGACGGCGGCAAGCTCACAGCAACACACACACACATTCACAGCTCAGCAGCTTCCCTGGCAGATCGAGCAGTCGTGAAAGAAAGAAAGTAAACTCATAGAGAAAAGCACTATAAGTGTTGCATCTGCATCAAAACAATGAGAAATTATTAATAGAAAAAAAATACAATTAAAGATAACTTTTTTTTTTAATGCTCACATGCCAGATGACAAGCTGGGCAACATTTGTCAGTCATAAAAATCTGCATGTCTTAGCAGTTGTCTTGCTTTCATTGAAGCTGTTACAAGGCTGTATTTTTTTTATTGTTTACATAAAGGCGCCAATATTTGTTTGATTTAATTGCCAAAAAGAATTTCGCAATGCAGTGATCAAAGAGGGGATTATTGTGAAATTTACAACACTGACGCAAATCACTCGTAACTGTGCCGGTGATGCACATTACGCCGTCATCCCGGGAGTCGGGCTTTGTACGACTTTGGGCTCAACAAACAGGTTCCCTAAGCAACATCGCCTCAGGTCTCTGCTGCATCTCTTAACGTTAACCACAAGCAAGGCTGTGTTTTACTTCGTATGGAAGATGTTTTCTCGCAAAGCGCACAAACGTCACGTTGTTTGAGTGTTTTACCTTCAAACTGACTTAAAATTGCAGAATATACAATTCTGTGAACAAGCTTTCCCAAATACATTTAAGCTTTTCTTTAGTGGAAGACATTTGTATTTGTCGTCTTATGAGAAACAACAGAAAAAATAA